GTTAGATGCTTAAATATAAATAATAAAGGACATTATGTTATTTACAATGTTACACAGTAGGTTGAGAGAGTCAAGACTTGACGTTAACTCATAAAGACAGTATATGGTTTAAGAAGACATCCATGTACAATATGTATTTACAAAAGAATATATGATAGAACGTGTGATATGTGGCCATTGTCTTCTGTCTGCATTTCTTTGCATTGATTCATGGGTCTTTGTGGACAGAAACCTCCGTGGCTGGTCAAACACAGCCCGTGGTATAAGATAAGGCCGGGCCTTCCTTCTTTTCACCAATTTGAGCCATGCACTCTTCAACCCCAAGCCAAAGAAAAAGGAATAGTTACTAAGCAAGTTCACCTGGATAAACTCCACCTACATCAAGAAACAAGAAAGAGATGGTACATTGCTGTCTGAGTCACATTCATCTATCCAGAAGGCCATCACGTAGGAAGCAGAAGGTTGTCCAGGCCTCTGGGAGTGGAAGGTGGGGGCAATCACACCAGGAAAGAAGGAAAAGGGGGACGTAAAAGGAATCGGAAGTGCAAGAGAAGGAATGTTGCATATATTATGCTCCACTGTGTACCTCTCAGTGGGGTATGATTTCAGACCCAGGAAACAAAGTGGCTGTCAAACTCCTGGGCCGTTTCTTAAAACCTAAACTGGACTTTCCATGGGCTGGGAACATAGATTCACACCCCACTGGATAGCCATTGCCCTGCTTGGACATATGAACTGGGAAGATAGAGAGTTATATGGCAAAAAAGTGATCCAGAGAAGTCCCTGTGAGCGTGCACCTAGCGGCCATCGCAGGCAACCCTGAGCAGTCAGCGGGCTTTTCTTACCAAGAGAAGCTCTTGTTCTAGCAAAGGCTATCTTCTACCAGCGACCAGAATCAAGATGGAAGTAAAATTTCCGCTTGTCCTAAATTGTTACACCTATTGGTAATTTGCAAATTTATAGCAATTCTCATAGTGAGGAGAATGTTGCTCATTGCTCTCAATGGAAGATTCTATTCACTTTTGAAATTTTCCAGAAAGGGACAGTTGACTATCCCAATGCCCAAAGAATTCAAAACAGAATTTCTATGGTTTTGAGTTCATGGTAGCAATTTCTTTATTGAAATGGCTAAGAATGCATCAGAGCTTTCAAGGGCAATGTTTAAATGATTTAGAGAACCTCTTTGGACTGACTGTTTTCTTTCCATGCTGTGAGCTCATCATTTCTGCAGAATTAGGAAACTGGTGCAACCTCATAGGGTCTCCCCAGGGTAGGTTAAAATCCAAACAAGGCTACCACTGAACACAGCGACAGTGGCAGGTGAACAATGAGGAACACTTGGGGATACAAGTAAACCACGGACCTGCAGACAGACAGCTCTGTGGATCGCAGAAGCACGTGGGACGTGGTAACATGACTCACGCCACACCTGCACTCGTCTACTCGGACCCACTTGCATATCATTTCTTTTCTTTTTAACATAAAGATTTGGTGAAGAAAGACATTTAGTTTAACCACAAACAAGAAGTGATTGCGCTCACTGACATCACGATCCCCTTGCTAACCTGTTTCCCATTCTGCTATCTGGCTCCTTAAAGCCACTTGGAACTTCCGAAAGCTCCAGCCCTGATTGGACAGGTATTAGACAAGGCAGGAAATGGGTTCCATGTTTTAAAAAAAAAAAAATCTCTTACTTTCCTGCATTAGCAGTTAGTTCAGGTGTTAATACCTAAAGGTCTTCCTCGGATTGACAATCACAAGAGCACATGCAGTGTTAAGACCAATCTTAGTCCTGCTTTATGACCGTAAAGCAAAAATTACGAGAAGGGGGAAAATGAGTGATCCAGGCTGTAAATGGAGGGGCCAGGACACATGTGGGGGTCACTTCTGCAAGTAAAGGTGCAATCTTTCCAACACACTTGACGTTTCCTGATGAGTCATTACTCGTGGAAGGTTCTTCCTAATCACAATTCACATGCACATTCATCATTCCTGATAAAAATGTTCATGCATAGGTATGACCTAAACAAGCCAAGGTGGGGCGGTGCCTGTGGCTCAAGGGAGTAGGGCGCTGGCCCCATACACTGGAGGTGGTGGGTTCAAACCTGGCCCCGGACAAAAATTGCAAAACAAAGAACAAAAAACAAACAAACAAAAACAACCAAGGCGATCGATGTGGGAAAATAAGAGAAAAATCCTGGGGCGAAAGGAGCGGTCAACAAAATGTCAAAATTTCAACCGAGTCACCAAGCTGTGCTCCACAAGTGGGCAGCTGTCCCTTCTAAACCCTTATGATGGAAACACGTTATTCACCTAAGATGACGGTCACCACTATGCACAGCAAGCACATTTTACTCTAGAAGGAGTTCAAGCACAGGGCAGAGTGTGCGTCTGGCCTGGACTTTTTTTTGCCGTAATAGGCCTCTTGCTGAGCTGAGAAGATACCGCCGTCGCTAGATCCAAAATCAGTGAAAAATACAAGTCAGAATGATTGCACCTTTATCAGCTGTGGTTTGACCTTCCACTAGACAAGCTGCTGGATCATCTCCCTCAAAGAGAAGGTGAAACTGAGTCCTCTTGGAAGGTGTGAGGGCGACTCTGATAGCAAGCCAGAACCCGTTTTCTAAGCTATCCCTAAAAGAGTTGGTTTTTTTGTCAAGAAAAAATAAATTCAAATAAAGTAAATGGCAGCTCCTTTTAGTAAGAGCAAGCTTTTTTCTGATTTATAATATAGTTTTTTTTTTTAAAAAGAAATCACAGTATTCCTTTCTTCCTAATAATTTAACGTGACTTTGTGCAGTTTTCCTGCTGTATTTAATAGTAGCATGCTGCTGGATCTACTATTATCTCAGAGCCCAATGAAGCAAACCTTTGGCTGGCAGATTAGACACAACTCATTTCATATTCGGAAAGCAAAGAAAAAAATTCATACAGAAGAGGAGTATTTGGATGGATGTACCCTTACAAGACATACTGACCAGAGGCTACTACAAGCAATCCGAGGGCCAGGGGCAAGTCTTGCAAATCATACATCCAGTCAACATCATAATGCAGTGCACAGAAGCCAGCAAAACAGGAGACGGGAGGTTCTGCCGAAATACTGTGAAAAAGCAATCACTGGAACTGTACAAAACTTGCTCTCGACATAACATAACATAAAGGCACCATTGATATCTTTCTCGTTTTGAAATACTGTAAAAAATTGCTACATATGGCACATAACACATTTTTACATACATATATTTAATTTATAAAAGTTTTTTTTTTTCCTGTTTTCTATTTGCAGAACTGCTAAAATAAAATAAATTGTTTAATTTAAGGTGGAATACTTTATTATATAAAATAAAGTTTTACAGGTGAATCTATGTGTTTATTTAGGTTTTATATAGCAATAGGGTCTTGGTTAGCAATGACACTAGACAGCCTGGCCTGCAACTCTTCCTGCGTGGAGAAGCGGCCCGCTGGGTTAGTCCTGCTGTCGG